GCAGAAGAGACGAGATGACAATCTGTGCCTCCATTTCTTTCAGCTTCAGTTGTTCCCTTGCCAACTTTCAGCTTCAGTTGTTCCCTGCCAACTCAGACCTTAACAATTGGCCAAGGGTGGGGGAGCAACTGTTCTGTGATTACCCAGACATGTGCAAATGTGCTAAAGGGCCCCCACTTCTTTTCAAAATTCACATTGTTTTTATATGAATGGTTTACTGAAGAATATGACACAATACCAGCCATTTCTCAACATTTCTTAAAGGTACAAAGATTGTGCAAGTAATATACAGTGCACCTGTGCCTTACGGGGGCTTGCCATCCATGGCTTCAAGCTTATGCAGGCACAAGTCCTGCATATTTTAATGGTGCACACCCCCACAGTGCACCCACAGCACCAGGTGCTGGAACATGCGGCCATTAACTACAATGGGATTTGAGGTCCCACAGTTTCTTGCATACGCAGGGGGTCCAAACGGATTCCCCATGTATACAAAGGGCCCGCTGCAGTACATTTTGAAAAGTTGGTGGAAAAGCCTTTATCAGACACAGAGAAAAGAGGGAGGGGAGAGGGAGTAAAAACATCAGTACACTCCTGGTTGCCATAAAATTCTTTCTGTTCCAATTACAGACAGCTTCAAGTGTGTGATGACCTTATTCCTTTATAGATAGGATGGAAATAAGTGTGAATGGAATGAGTGGCATAATGAGACAGAATTAATTCACATGGATTTGACAAACTGAGTCCCCATATTTGCTTTTCCAATGATCTTGGTGTGTACATTCCTCTAGCTTTGTAGATACATCAGCCATTAAAGTGAAGTCATGGGACATTTAGTAAAATGACTCACAAAAATTTAATCAAACAGTTATAATACACAACATAATTATTTCATAAGTCTCAACTTTTTATTTTTGTTACAAAAAAGTAGGTGCTTAATTGAGAGAGCCAGTATGATATGATGGTTTGAGCAACTACAATTCTGGATAGCAGGATTCAAATCTTCACTAGTCCATGGATACCTGCTGAGTGACTTGGCCACTCTTTCAGCCTCAGAGGAAGGCAAAGGCAAAGGCAAACTGCCTCTGAACAAATCTAGCCAAGTAAACCCCAATATAGGTTTGCCTTAGTCCTGCCATAAGTCAGAAAGGTCTTGAAAACACATTCTCCTTGAGATGGAGATACTGAAAAAGTTCACAGTAGTGACTACATTTCCTTAATTAAAGAGGTGCATCCTTAAATAACTAATTAAGTAAATATTGTACATATTCAATCCCTCAATTTGGCCCTCAACAAAATTAATTTTAGTGGCTTTTGAATTAGCTTTAATGAGTTGATATCCTAAGAAAAGAGAATAAACTGACAGTCTATTGAACTGTTGTTAACTGTGACATTAGATGGTCCATTTAGGGTTGGCAGCAATCAAGTTTTCATGGCTAGTTCTGCAACTGATGATCCACATCCTAGCACTTAGAACAGACTTTGAAGTTCCTACTGTTATGACTGACCTTTGGCTTTGGGGAATACTAATTAGTTAAAATGGAGTAAAAGTATTTACCTCCAGCAGAGCTGCTCTAATTGTCTGAGGTGCTGTAGACTCTGCAGTGTGGAAGGGAAAGTGGGGGGAAATGGCTCAAGAGTTGGAAATATATCAAAGTCCAGAGAGATAAAGTGTCCCCCTATATTTTAACATAGCACAATTAATAAAGGGATTTGGGGGTCCTTATATTGGCTAAAACTAGCCCAAGGCAGAGAGTTGTTCACATAAATGGGGTTAAATCTACATACTAAAAATTACTTGATCTATAGACAGGCATTCCTTTCTGATGGCTCTGATTAGGCAAAAACATCCTGGATCATAAATCTGACTTGAAGTGTGAATGTCTTCCTGGATGGCAATGCCTATCTCACTGCTTTGATCTGTATTTCAAAGGGGTGTCTACTTGATGAGATCACCTCACATCCATGGCTGACCTGAAATATCTTTTTCTCTGCTGCATCTCCACATAGGGTCATAGCGAAAATCATGCACATTATGGCAAAATCATGTCCATTTCTCATAACACTACCCAGAATACAAGAACAGCTGGACAAGAGAAACAGACTAATTGCCTAGGGCAATGAATTTTCTTCACTGTACAGACCTTCCTTGATTTCAAATGATACATTCCAAGGTTATATTACTCAACTTCTTTCAGTAGCCTGAGCAAAAAGATGGGAGAGATTGCATGAAAAGGAAGACAGAAAATGGTTTTGGTTAATATTACTCTTGTGAAAACCTCTCTATTATGACTATTTAACTCTCCCACTATGGAATCCTAGATCTGTGGTCAGAGGGACAAAGAAGAAGCATACTACTATCAATCCCAGTTGATTCAAATTGCAGTAGTGGATGATAGAATGGAGGGGAAAGTATGGCAAAATTATTCTTTTCCGCAAATTATCTGTACCTCTTCTCCAAGACTGACTACAAGCTTATGAGCATAAGAAGAGTTCTATGGAGTCATACTAAAGGAATTCTAGATCAGATTTACATTTGTCAAATTAGTGAAACTGAAGTTTCTAGTGGTCTTAATCAAAAAATGAAGTCAACTGTTTTCCTAGTTGCATAGTATGCAGTAACCAAAAGTGTATTGCCTCTGGGCTTAGCTCACTACCACTAAGTATCCTATCTCCTATGAAACTGTTTAACCCTTTGTAAGAATGACTGGGCTAACTTTATTGTGTCCTAGGTCTGTGTTGGCAAACCTATGGCATTTGTGGCATGCAGCCCAGTCTGTGAGGGCAAGGCAGCCACAGCTGGGGGGTGGTGGGGTGCACGTACATGGCCCAGCTCCTTGTCATGGCTCAGTTTGCCCTGGGACAACCAGGCTGTGTGAAGGAGGGACAAGGAGGTGCATGCAGCTGCTCTGGCTCCTTGTAGTGGCCCAGTTCTCCTGTGGAAAACCAGGCTGCCGCAAGGAGCTTGGCCATGTGCCGGCTTTCCAGGCAGAAGTCCCGCCCCTTGCTATAGGGTTGTGGGAACTGTAGTTTTTTGTTGTGTGCCTTCAAGTCATTTCCAGCTTATGATGACCTTAAAGTAGGTTCCAATCCCCACTCAGACATGGAAGTGTAACCTTGGGCAGGTCACACACTCACACACTCTCAACCTCAGGGGCAGCCAACCGTCACCGCCTACATCACAGCCCCCCATTCCTACTAAGGAAGGCAGGAAAAAAGCTCAAGGCCAGGGAGGATTAAGGTAAGGATTAAGAGAATATTGGCTTCCCCCTCCACTGCTGGTACCCCACCCCTGTCTCCTGGACAAATAGCCCTCCCAACTCCCAAGAAGGAGGTTGAGTGGGACAGAAGGGAAATGAAGGAAGAAAGTGAAGGAGGCCCTGCAAAGGTCGGGCCTGGGTGGAAAGAGGCTGGATGCCCTTGTTCTTTCCCCTCCCCTCACCTCCCCACTTTGGAAGCCCTCACAAACCACTGGAGGGGTTCTGGGGGCCCTGCCATCCAGCCTTCACACCTGATTGGCCATATGGATGCCCTCCTCTCCAAGTCCCAGTGAAGGTGCCCCTGAGGGCCAGGAGAGGCCACCACCTCCTCCTCCTCATCTTCTTCTGGGCCTCAGGGGTAAATAATCACTAGCCACACAGCAGGAAAAGGGCAAGACCTCAGGGCCATGCAGCCACCCTTTCCCTAGTCAGAGGCTTCCTCCTGCTCTGGGTCCCCCCATCCTTTCCATTCCTGCTGTGTTGAGGGGTAGAGGAGGAGGAGGGTCCCTGTCATGAGTGTGGCCCCAAAACCCCAAGGAGGCCATTAAGTTGGAGCTTTCCACAGATCCCAGTGGTAGGGTTTCCCAATGCTTCTTAATTGAGCAGTGCCTTGATGTTGTTGGGTGCCTTCAAGCCCCTATTGACTTAGAGGGACTCTGTCCTGGGGTTTCCTTGGCAAGGGTTCTTCAGAGGAGCATTTGCTATTACCTTTTCCCCCTGAGGCTGAGAGAATGTAAACTGAAAAGGGCCAGCCAGGGTTATGATTATTGTGTGCCTTCAAACCCTTTCTGACTTAGGGGGACCCTATCCTGGGTGGCGCCAAAGTGTGAATTCATAGAACAAGCCCTGTTAGTCTGGAATATCAGTATGTACAGGGTGTTCTGTGGAGGACATTCAATGAAAATGTAGGGTGTGATCACATGAATGCTAAAAAAACCACTCCTATAAATTTATGCTTCTTGGTCATACTAAAAATGGAGGGTATTCAAGGAAAATGGAGGCCTGATCAAATAAAAGCTGAAAACACTCCTAGAAATGTCAATTCATGCTTCTTAGTCATGCCCCAAATAGAGGACATTACAAAATAAACACTAAAAAACACTTCTATAAATATAAATCCATGCTTCTTAGCCATGGTCAAAATAGAGAGCATTCAAGAAAAGCTCAAGACATGTCAAAATAAAAGCTAAAAACATCCATATATAAATGTAATTTCATTTAAAAAATGTAAATTTATGCTTCCCAGCTACGCTCAAAATGGGGGACGTTCAAGAAAAATGGAGGACATGACAACATAAAAGCTAAAAACAGTCAGAAATAAAAGTTCAGTTCATCAGGTTTATTTCCATCTATTTTACATATTGTTATTATGCCTTCATGTTTTCAAGATTTGTTCAGAGGGGATTTTTACCATTGCCATCATTTGGGACTGAGAGAGTGTGACTTGCCCAAGGTTACCCAGTGGGTTTAATACAGAGCTGGGAATCAAACCCAGGTCTCCAGAGTCATAGTCCAGCACTCAAACCATTAAACCATTCTGGTTCTCACTTTATTGTGTACCCAGCTGTTAAAATGACTTGTTGGCTTGCAATATACTTATAGAACTGTGCAATATACTTATAGAACCTTGAGGCTACATTTAAATTATTTAAATTATTCTTTTCATTTGTCTATTGTACTGAAATTAAGGGAAAAAAAAACATTCAACATTTGCATTGTGTCCTCAAGCAGCCCACTTGCTGAACATGGTTGTTGTCCTTCTCCCCTCTCAGAAACAAACACACCCTGAGCTGAGCAGCGAGGCTGGGACTAAAGGGACGCGCGGCGTCCCTTTAACCCCAGCCTCGCTCTTCTATGGGCTTGGTCCTCCAAGCAGAGGAGGACTTCTCTGCTTCAGGGACCAAGCCCATAAAGCAGCGAGGCCGGGCTAAAAGGAGGCCTCCTTCCAGCCACGGCCTCGGTTGTTCAATGGGCGGTCCCTGGAAGCGGAGAAGCTTCTCCGCTTCCAGGGGCAGCCCATTGGAAAACGCAGCACCTCCGGGGCTTCGGCTTTCGTAAGTTGAACACTTTCGTAAGTCAAAGCAAAATTTATCGGGAGGCGCGTTTCTTAAGTCGAATTTTTCATAAGATGAAGCATTTGTAAGTAGAGGTACAACTGTATTGTTGTTTGCTATTTTGTGCCTTCAAGTTGTTTTCAACTTGTGGTGACCCTAAGGCCTATCATGGGGTTATCTTGGCAGGTTTTGTTCAGAGGAAGTTTTCCATTGCCCTTTCCAGAGGCTAGTGCATGTGACTTGCCCAAGGTCATCCAAGCTGGGAATTGAACCCTGGTCTTCAAAGTTGTAGTCCAACACTCAAACCTCTATGTCATGCTTGCTCTCATGTAATGTTATTTTCATTAAAATACACATTTTATGCACCCTTACCGTAATATATTTTCCTGTACCTGCATGTATTGATCAAAAAGATGCACTCAAAAGTTCCAATATGGATAAATACTGAATGATTATTGTTTAAAGTCACATTTTGATTTGGAAAGTGCTATGTAGATAGATTTGCACCAGGGACAAAAGAAATATATCACTCTTTCCTACCAAGATATATGTCAGAAACCATGGGAGGCTAGGCTGGTCTCATCTCTGCTTGCGGAAAATTCAGCCAGTCATTTTGGTAATCAAAATACCAAATTGGAGGGCCAATTTAACTCATGGTTGTTGTTATTGTGCAACAACCCTAACCCTAACCCTAACCCTAACCCTAAGGCATTTCTTGGCAAGATTTGTTCAGAGAGGGTTTGCCATTGGTTTCCTCTGAAACTGAGGGAGTATATTTGTTCAAGTGGGCTTCCACTAGGTGATCTTGGTTATGTGGCTGATCTTTTATATCATTCAAACCCTGATTTTCTATGGAGTTGCAATCCAACACTAAAACCACTACTCATGTTGTACTTTCTTTTTTCCCTATGTGCTTTAGAAATTGCTTTTAATTTGGATGTTGTTTTAATAAGACAATCTGTGTTTTAATATTGTAACTAAATCATTTACCTGCAGCTTCTTTTTAATAAAAAGCATAAGTTACCTTGGATCCCAGTCCTGGGGAAAAGATGAAATGTAATAAATACATTTATTAAATAAATAAAATATCTCAAGGCAATTGTCCATCATCCTATTCATTGTTGTTGTTTTCCCCCCAAGATATGTTGAAGATTTCTGCAAGAGGAAATAATCCTTTTCCTAGTTCATGAGGAAGAAGAAAACTATTTCTGGGGTTGGTCATAACGAAATTTTGATTCATCCAGGTGGCAGTGGATCAGAAGCAATCGGTTAGGTGTGATTACTGGCAGGGATTTCAGTACATGATTTTCTGGTATATTACTTACATTTTCTTCATTTGGCAATGCTAGCCATCCTTTGATTGTTTGAATGTATAAATCTGTTCTCATAGGAACATTTGATCATGGGTCATTTGTTCGTCTCTTTTGCTGCTAACCCTACAATGTTAGGCAAACCAGGAGGGGATTATACTTGTTTGCTGTCACTCATATAGGTTTTATAATGTTGCTTGCTGATATGTTTGTACAGTGCTACTGCCTGCTCATCACCACTGGGAGATTAGGTGCTGCAGATCTACAATACAGTTTTGAAAGCACACTTCTCAAGAAGGTTACAATCTCCTGGGAAGTCTGCCTGTGCAAATCCAATTGAAATGGCAGGGAACTGTGAAAAAGTACACTGCATCTGTCTATGAAATGTATGTATGTATGTTTGTATGTAAATGTATGTGACAAGTTATTTTGATGAATTTAGGTTTATCTTCCATATTATCCATTTAATTCAAAAGAGGCAGTATTTCATCATCCTTTTTTCACAGACCAGAATTCTGGGGGGTGTTAAGTTCTGAAAAGACATAAGCCTGACCTTTTTAAAGAGCAGATCTTTGACATATTGTTTAATATTCTGAAATTCCATTTCCCCCATTATTCCTTTGACAAATTTTCACAGCTACTAAGATATGCTTTTCTCTAAATAGAACCCCAGTGCAAACATCAAAATAAATGCCATGTTAGAACCATGCTGATTTTAAAAGGAAGAAAAACAACAACCATACTCAATAATAAGTCATGACATTCACACAGAAAGTTTATTTCTAATAAGTGAGAAAGCTAATGCCTATTGTTCTAAATTTAGAAAAGAGGCAGTTAATTTGCTTGCCACTTCATACCTTTACAAATAACAAGAGATGCTTTGCTTCTTGTTCACATAGTTTTATGCAAGCAAAACTATCCCCTTGGGTTGTTTTGTTGTTGTTGTGTGCCCTCAAATGATTTCTTATTTAAGGTGACAGTAAGGTAAATCTGCAATGCATGCACCTGTGAGCCAGCATGATAACCAGAACACCAGCATGGTATAGTGGTTTCATTGTTGGACTATAACTATGGAAACCTGGGTCAAATTCCCAGCTCAGCCATGAAACCTGCTGAATCACTTTGAGCAAGTCACATGCCCTCAGCCTCAGGGGAAAGCAATGGCAAACCTAAGCTGAACAAATCATGCCAAGAAAATCCCATGATAGGGGTCACCATAAGTCAGAAATGATTTGAAGGCACATAACAACAACAACTAAGGTGAACCTATTATGGAGTTTTAACTAATGCTAAAAAGGGATGTTTGAATATGGCAAATTATAAACATGGGATGAGAAGTACAGTTTCATACATCTGCTAATAAGGAAACAGACTGTCATTGTGCTGGTTCCAGATTTAGACATATGTAAAACAGGTCCATTGGAAAAAAAATGTTTCATTGATTTCATGAGACTATCATGATTTTGAAACCTACCCAATGTTTCACTGTCTAAACTACTTAAAAGAGGTATAGCTTTCTTTCTAAGTCCTTTTGTGAAAGAATGGATACAGTTGGTAATTCAGAAATATTGGCAACAAAAGGGTGCTGTTTGATAATTTCCATCTTGTTTGTCTCTATATAATGAGAGAATGAAAGGTGAAATAAAATAATAATAATAATAATAATAATAATAATAGACATTGAGCCTTCTCTGTCAGAAAGCTCTGGTGCCACAATAAACTACAGTCCCCGTGATTCCTTAGCACTGAGCCAGGACAGTTAAAATGGCCTCAATTTGCACTATTTCTGGCAGTCTGAAGAGGCCCTTAGTCACTGCAACAGTTGGAGACATAGAGAAATAAAGTTGGGTGTCATCAGTGTACTGATAACACCGCCCCCCCCATGTCTCCGGATGATCTCACCCAGAGGCTTCATGTGAATGTTAAACAACATGGGAGATAGAATGGCGCCCTGAGGGACACCAGATGTCAGCTCTCTTTTAAAAGAGCCACTATCCCCCAGCATCACCATCTGGAATCTGAGAGGTAGGATTGGAGCCACTGAAGCACAGGGCCCCCAATACCTAACTCCCTCATGAGTTCCAGAAGGATACCATGGTCTATGGTATCAAATGCCACTGGGATGTCCAAGTGCACCAACAGGGTCACACTTCCCCTGTCATTCCTAGACAAAGATCATTGACTAAGATGACCATGGCAGTCTCAACTCAGTATCCCGCCCTGAAGCCAGTTTGAAATGGGTCCAGATAATTGGCTTCTTCCAAGACAATCTGCAGCTGGAAGGCAACTGCTCTCTTGATCACCTTACCCAAGAATGGTTAAAGAGAGACCTGTCTATAATTATTTCTCACCAGGGGATCAAGGAAGGGTTTCTTCAAGAGTGACTTAACCGCTGCTAATTTCAAACTAGATGGGAACTTTTCTTCCCTAAAAGTTGCATTAATTATCATAGAATCATAGAATCATAGAGTTGATAGAGACCACAAGGGCCATCCAGTCCAACCCCCTGCCATGCAGGAACTCCCAATCAAAGTTGTAGTAATATTTTTACTGCATCACCTCCCTGGGCGGTCAGCCATGACGGGCAAGGATCAAGAGGGCATGTTGTCCTCCTTACACTTCCAAGAAGCTTTTCCACTTCATCAGTATTAACAAACTCAAAATGATCCAATTTAACACAGTCCACAGAGTCCCTGGATATCTCTCTTACTGGTTCTGTTATAATGCCCGCATCCAGATCAACCCTTATCTGAGAGATTTTATCTACAAAAAAAGTAATTGAAAGCATCACAGCAGGCTTTAGTTGGCTTCAATAATGGGTTCAAGGTGGGAGGCAATTGAGTTAGTGCTTTTACCACCCTGAACAGCTCTGCTGGATGAGACTTTGCAGATGCAATACATGCAGCATAGAAAGAATTCCTTGCTGCATCTATTGCCACTCCATAAGAATCCAACATGTTCATATGGCATGTCCTGTCATGTAGACGTTGATGTTTCCACCAGCAGCACTTTAGTCATTGCACAGCCCACTTCATTTGATGAAGATTTCCTGTGTACCATGGATTTTTATTTGAAGCAGGTTGGAAAGGACATGTGGGAGAGATAGTGTCTACAGCCCTGGTAAGATCGTTATTCCAGGTATCAACCAAGGCTTCAACAGAATTGCCATTGTTCACAA